TTTTTTTTTTTTTTTTTTTTTTTCTTAACCTTTTGGCTTTTTCTTTTCAGTTCTATGAGGACAGGACTCTGTTACGAATATCCCCAGCACCTAGTTCCATTCTACCCTCTACCTTCTATGACTGTTTTTGATATCATAATACATATTATTCTGTTTTTGGAAATAAAGTTTAAGACTTAGGGGAATACACTTGGTTATTTTCCCTTTTGTAGACTATGTGCTTGCTCTAGTAATGGTGATCTTACAGAAAACATTTGGGGGCTCTTTCTTGTCATTAGAAGGAGTACAAATAGAGATGTTTGAAAGAGGCCAGATAATTGCCTAGACAGGAACTCAGATGGGTTTGATTCTCCTCTTTAAAAACTCCATTAGTCCCTGTAATAAGATTTTATCAGACTCAGTGATACTGACTCTGATGTTGTGGAGCATACTAGAAAAATTCTAGGCTGTGAGAGCGTGGTGTAGTAGATTACCTGGTGTGGCTTTTCTAGCCATAAGTCTTTGTAAACTCTGTGGTGGAATTTGCTGTGAGCAACTGAGGAGCTCCTGATTGTAAAAGTTATCCACCTGGGGTATTTCTGTTGAGCGCAACACAAAGCATTGTTCTGGGAGGGTCCTGCTGTCTCTCAGGTGCTTAGAATTCTGATGTTATGATTGGTTAGTTTGGCCACTCTGCCAGACTCCTAGAGGCAGAAGAAGTCTCTCTCTGACTGCTGGTTGAGGAAGATGTGCTGCTAAATCATGTGCTGCTGGGAAAGAGATACAAGAGATATGCATTGCTGAGTGAGATACCGAGGGACACTCACTGTTGGGAGAGAGACTGAGAGACTGTTAGGAAAGAGACTGTGGGCTGGGAGAGAGACTGAGCATTTTTCCTGAACTTAAATTGTAGCTTGGTGCTTCCCTAATAAAACCCATAATCTGTGAGTTCTGTGTGGCCACTGCAGTGAATTATCGAACCCAGGAGAGAGGTGGTGGGTGCTTTGGGAGGAATGGTTGGTGAAAGGGCTGGAGGGAGGCAGCATGTCTGGCCTTGCTGTAATAGGCCTTGGGCTATTGATGGTGATTCTGTCTTCATCTTGTGCAGTTAGAGGATCTCAGAAGATGTGGCCTCCCTGCCCTTTTGGCAGAGAGTCAAGGGAATCTTGGTTCTGACATTTACTAGATTCCTCCCCTGATAAATAGAATAATGACAAATAGAGTTAATGTTAAAAGAGATAATATATGTAAAATATGTACTGCTGATATATCAGATAGTATTTCCATGCTATTTCATAACATTTTCACTGGCCAATTCTTGGAAAAGTGGATGGCCCCTTTCTCCTTCCAGAATACCAGAAAGATGTTAACTTGTGTTTTATTGACCACGTGAAAGCATTCAATTGTGTGGATCATAACAAATTATGGATAGCATTGAGAAGAATGGGAATTGCAGAACACTTAATTGTGCTCATGAAGAACCTTTAAGTAGACCAGCAGGCTGTTGTTCTAACCGAACAAGGGCATACTTCATGGCTTAAAATCAAGAAGGGAGTGCATCAGGGTTGTATTGTTTCACCATACTTGCTCAGTCTGTATGCTGAGCAAATAATCCAAGAACCTGGACTATATGAAGAAGAATGCAGCATCAGGATAGGAAGAAGACTTATTAACAACCTGCGATATACAGACAACACAATCTTGCTTGCTGAAAGTCAGGATGACTTGAAGCACTTACTAATGAAGATTAAAGACTACAGTCTACATTATGGATTACACCTCAACATAAAACAAAAATCCTCACAACTGGACCAGTAAACAGCATCACAATAAATGGAGAAAAGATTGAAGTTGTCAAAGATTTCATATTACTTGGTTCCACAATCAACACTAGTGGAAAGAGCAGTCAAGACATCGGATGACATATTGCACAGGTCAAATCTGCTGCAAAAGACCTCTTTCAAGTGCTGAAGAGCAAAGATGTCTCTTTGAAGACTAAGGTGCACCTTACCCAAGCCTTGGTGTTTTCAGTTGCCCTATATAGTGTGTGAGAAAGCTGGACAATGAATAAAGAAGACAGAAGAAGAGTTGCTTTTGAGTTGTGGTGTTGGGCAGAGACCAACAAAGTACCATGGATTGCCAGAAGAACTAACAAATCTATCCTGGGAGAAGTGCAGCCAGAATTCCCTTTGGAAGTGAGAATGGCTAGACTTTGTCTTATCTACTTTGATTATGTGGGCAGAAGGGACCACTCCCTGGAGAAGGATATCATGCTTGGTAAAGTGGAGGGTCAACAAAAAAGGGTAAGGCCCTCAATGAGATGGATTGACACAGTGGCTGCAACTATGGGCTCAGGTATAGAAAGGGTTGTGAGGCTAGCACAGGACTGGGCAGTGTTTTGTTCTGTTGTACATAGGGTTGCTATGAGTTAGAGCCTATTCGACGGCACCTAACAACAACATGTACTGCTGATACCACAGTAAACAAATGGTAGCTGTTATTAGATAGCTGTTACTATGAATGTAAAACCTAGGAGATACTGATTTACAAACCAAATGTCAAGTCTATGTATTTACAATGATTATTGAAACTGCCAAATAGTCTAAAATCCTTGTGTCTGCTGTATATTCTTTCCCAGTTAGGAAAGTCTGTCTCAGAAACCAAATTATAATCAAGAAGTTGCTTAGTGAATCAAGAGAAATAGTTGAATTATCTTTATGGCTACTATCATGAAGCCTTGATTGCCTGATGTAAACTTCCCTAAAAGAACATTGTCAATATCACACAGAACTTATTAGGTTCCTTTTACCCCAGTTAGAAACTCCCCCTTTTTCTTTTTTCTTTTTTTTGCCCTTCTGAAACTTCAGGTTGACTCTACCTTCTTTTCACTCATTCTCCAAATCTAGACAACACCATTAATTTCCATTATAGTTAGGCAAGTTCATGTCAAATTCTTAGGATATTTTCTGCATCTATTTGGAAGATATCCCATGAAATGACTTATAAATTGTTGTTATTCATTATTTGTAAGTTTAAATCTATTTTCAAATATGAGAAGTACTTGTATTCTGTCTGTACTCAGTATACTTGCTGTTTTGAAAAAAAAACACTGTTCTGATTATTCTCAACAGTAAAAAGTTGCCATTCTTTGAAAATCAATATGATTTTTTAAATAATAATGGAAAGTCAGATCCAAACTGGCTGAATAAGATAGGTAACTAAGAGGAACAGATTATGCTTGTTCAAAAAGTTATGTCAAAAAGAATTACATTACTTTATTGATTACTGTTTTACAAGGATTTCTCAGAAGGGAGAATTTTAAAATTTTTTGAGCAATGATAGTAAGAATAAACAAATGCCGTAAGTAACTTTCCAAGTTAGCCATTTTGGTGAAGGGATTATTCATATGCATAGAGGTACTAAAATGTTTTCTAGTCATTCCATATGTTCCATCTTATTCATGAAAATTTTTCTGCCTTCTCCTTCAGTCTGAATTCTTTCAGTCTTATAATTCAGTGATTCTCACACATTTTATCTTAGGACTACATTACTGCAAAAATGGCAAGGAGG